GCCTTGGAATATTGGGACAGACATTGGGTTCCGTTAGAATGCAAAATATTCCGTTCAAACACAAGTCTGATAGAACTTGAGATATTGGGAGCAAAGTTCGTTCGAACGTCAATCTCCGTTTGAACCTAAATGCGCGATTTTTAGTAATTAGTTTGTAAGATTTTCTTCATTTTTGATTCTATAAATACCCTAAGGACGTTCTTTAGGTCGTGTTTCAATAGCTTTCAGCACTAGGAGACTAAGGAGAGTTGGTAGAACATAGAAGGGAAGATTTTGAAAGATCTAATTGTGGAACACAAGAAACTGCGTTAAGATCCACGGAACTTAAGGTAGGTTTTTTTTCCCTTAAATTCATACATTGGGATTAGGATTATATAATTATACCTTTTCATCTCTATTACGATATAAATAATAGATCCATAATATTTTCTCATTTGTTGGAATCTATGATTCGTTTCTGGAATAAAATATATTTTTTACATTAAAGATTTATTTGTTCTTGATGAAAAACCCTAATTCTTGATTTACAATTCTATCTATGTGATAGATTTATAATGTTTTTACATTCCTTTTTAATATGTGTTACAATTCATGAATAAACCTATGATTTATATCCAATAACATGTTTTACATCGAAAAAAAGTGTTCTTGGTTAAAATCCTAGATTTTGAATATTGTGAACATGAGAGTTTCTTATTACGATCTCTTGCACATTTTACTCCAATTATACTTTTACTTGAGAGTTATGAAACTAATTTTGGTGCATGTTATTTTGTGGAAAAAGTGTTGTGTTAACTCTTGTAGGAGTGAGTATGATGAGGTGGATTACACTCAAATGCGTATTGTAGAGTGTTAGACGTTTTTCTATTTTGATGGTTGCCTAACACTCGTAGGAGATTTAATTTCTTGCATGGTCAACCACTATTGTTCACGTATGTTCGAGGTTGAGGGTTAGTATACTATTTATGTGAAGGATTTATCAATGCTAAAAGATTTGGTAGACTCCCATCCCAAAAGTTGTTGTAAGTGTTGTGATCCTGCGTGGATTGATGTGAGCTGGTTTGTGCTTGTGACGGGTGAAAGACATAGGTTCGATGTGTAGATTTATATTAGTCTACCTACGTACATAATAAAATATTTTAAGAGGTGGTTNTGTGGATTGATGTGAGCTGGTTTGTGCTTGTGACGGGTGAAAGACATAGGTTCGGTGTGTAGATTTATATTAGTCTACCTACGTACATAATAAAATATTTTAAGAGGTGGTTTTGTGAATGATTATATCTTGTTATGAACTTTCTAATTTTATGCCTTCAACTTGAGATTATTACTAAATGTCATTGTATTACTTCAAATCGATAGATGCTATTTTACAAAGACTCATTTGTTTTTTGTAATTTCTAAATCTTGTTTGGATTTGGGAAGGTTTTCCAACTAACTTAGGCTTATTTGCTTATCTTATGATATAAATATTTTTTAGATTTTGATTTTGAGGAGGATCAGAACATGGATCCCAATTTTGAGGCTTAAAGATGCTTCTTTCTAGTTTAAATTATGAGATTTGGTTACGAGACTATGTTATGAATATTTTTTAATTAGTTAGTTTAAAGATACTTTTCTATGAATATTTTTTAATTAGTTAGTTTAAAGATACTTTTCTGGTTTGAGATGTAAGTTTGAGAAGTTATTTATGTTTTATTGAAATTGTTAGTGATTTCTTGAATGAATAGGTAGTTCATTATTTAATGATTATTTTAATAAGCCTCTCATAGGTTGGATGATTTATAATTAGTTAATGTCTTGAATGTAGAAATTGGGGCGTTACACTCGACCCCCAATATCTTCATTAGAAGTCAAACACCTTATCAAGCTCGAGCCAACCGATCTAAGTGCTACATTGCAAGGGTTCAACAAGAATGTAAGAAAAGTTCTATTAGATGGGCTTAAAAATTTGATAATATTGATTTATTTCTCATACGCTCAAAACTTGTATAAGTCAAAACATGTCCGGCTTCAGTAGTGCGTATGACTGTTAAACATGTCGAGTTAAACGGATGATAGGTGAAAAAAAATGTAAATCTGTACAGGACATGTTTAATAAACAGATGAAAAATCTTAACAAAAACTCGATTCGTTTAATAAATATGTAACACGATACGACTCGTTTAACCCGTTTAATTTTAAAAAAATTATATCAATAAATTTTAATACNCTGTTAAACATGTCGAGTTAAACGGATGATAGGTGAAAAAAATGTAAATCTGTACAGGACATGTTTAATAAACAAATGAAAAATCTTAACAAAAACTCGATTTGTTTAATAAATATGTAACACGATACGACTCGTTTAACCCGTTTAATTTTAAAAAAATTATATCAACAAATTTTAATACTCAACTTTTTTAATTGTTAGCTATAATTACCTCAAAAATCAGATTTGAATGCTAAAAAAAAGGCAAAGGTCACACTGCCTTTTATAGGCAAGTCAACCATCACCATCTCCCCTCATTTGCTGACGTGGGACAAAANACTGCCTTTTATAGGCAAGTCAACCATCACCATCTCCCCTCATTTGCTGACGTGGGACAAAAACAAAAAACATTGGTTATCTTTGTTTTTGAACTGTTTCCCATCTCCCTCCTTTGTCTTTGAATTATTGTTTTACTTATTTTTTTTTGGCTAATTTTTAAAAATAATTATTAATTTATTATTATATTAATTTTATTTAAACGGATAACACATGTGATAAGCGGTGTAACAAGTCTCACAAAAACACAACCCGTTTATTAAACATGTTTGGCAGATCAACCCGTTTATCACTAAAACCCATTAAAATTTTACTNTTTTTTGTATTGATTTTTTTACCTTTTTTTTTGGCTAATTTTTAAAAATAATTATTAATTTATTATTATATTAATTTTATTTAAACGGATAACACATGTGATAAGCGGTGTAACAAGTCTCACAAAAACACAACCCGTTTATTAAACATGTTTGGCAGATCAACTCGTTTATCACTAAAACCCATTAAAATTTTACCNACACATGTGATAAGCGGTGTAACAAGTCTCACAAAAACACAACCCGTTTATTAAACATGTTTGGCAGATCAACCCGTTTATCACTAAAACCCATTAAAATTTTACTCAAATCTGTTTAATTTGTCTCGATTCATTAATCGCATCGTATCAGATTTTGACAGACCTAGGCCTAGTAGTGCAGTTCGTTTAACGGTCTTAATTGGTAGATGATTATATCATGAGGGGGACAAACTTTAGTTACATGATTCGNACAGATCAACTCGTTTATCACTAAAACCCATTAAAATTTTACCAAAATCTGTTTAATTTGTCTCGATTCATTAATCACATCGTATCAGATTTTGACAGACCTAGGCCTAGTAGTGCAGTTCGTTTAACAGTCTTAATTGGTAGATGATTATATCATGAGGGGGACAAACTTTAGTTACATGATTCGTCACTTACAACCCACGCTTAATCACTCGGAATGTCAATTCGTGAATTAAGAATGAATTCGACATTAATTTGCGCTCTCATATCTCCAAATTTGCGAATTCAAATAATAAATTCACAAATTAAAAATTTAAACACTTAACTATCAACAGCCCAAAACTTTATACTGGCCAACCCGTTCGTTATTTCATTCACCTCAAAAAGAGGCTTTCCATCTGTGGGTCTCACGCACAAGCAATGAGAGTGAAAACATTGGCCGCACTTTATAACATTATTCATGGTTGCCATAATTTTTCAAAACCACAACAAATAATCCCAAATTGCAAACCCTTGCTTCAGTCCAAATTCAAAAACTCAAAGCCAAAGGTTCGACACAAATAGCAAACTCAAAACCCTAGGTTCAACGCAATCCAAAAATTCAAAACCCAAGATCGGATACCACAATTGTTGGAATAACAGAAGCTAGAACCTCACCAAATCCACAAAAAACAGGACCCAAACAAATAAATAACAGTGTTTGAATTTCTGCTATAATGTATTACACAAATTGCATCACAAAAACAAGCTTAAACAGGAATAAAAATCTGCTGCGGTAAACCACATAACTTCACTCAAAAATACCTCTATATTTCACCAAAATTGAGTATTATATCAAGGAATACAAAAGGACAACTCATCTCAGAATTTTCTGCAACAAGAACATAAAAATAGCTTTCAAAAACTCTTGAAATGAAGCTTCAGCTTCAGCAGCATCATGGACTGCATACCTCTGTTTTTCTCTCTCCGTTTTCTGCATAGAAAACCTCACATTTTTCTCTCTCTTTCGCAGCTACTGCTCTTTGGTTCTTCAAGCAGCTGCCCAAGCAGCTTTTGTGGCCAATAAACTGAGCCACTTGCTGCCCCTTTGTTAACCGACTGAACAAAGGCTGATAAACTCAATCAAGTGGCTGCCTCTTTAATCACCAATCAAAAGACACTAATATGACCTAATTGCTTCCAAGGACAAAAGCGAGTTATTACATAATAAATCAAAACTTAAAATGCCAAAATTACCCATTATGAATTGGGTTTATAAACTATACAATTCCCATAAGAGATTTTTTCTCTTATTGATGGATTACATCCTTGTTAAATTGTGTACATGATCAGATAAGAACGACACCCATATTTATATGGTGAGAAATCATTACAATAAACAATTAAACAAGTATGACCCAAAAAAAAAAACAATTAAACATGCATGTGCGTCTGAGCTAATGAAAGATATTAATCTATGAGTTATATGATGAGTTACTAATCGTTATCTGCATCTGATTGATGGATCTACTGCTTTTAGCTTGGTCCTGAGCATGGCGCTGCTGGAAACCCACATGTGGGGTGAAAAAGCCAATCTCACACTGGTTTGAGAAAGAAACAGATATAGCTTTATATACAAAGTTCGAAATAAAGATTGTTAAGTTTGAACTAAATAATTTTGGACGGTTAGTTTGTGTTCAACAAAACTAGATTGCCATAAACTCGTAAAAATAATTATTTGTCCAAAATTTTTATCCCGAGTTTGTTGCTCTTGCTGGCGTGCAAAGATTTCGCTGCTTGGGGGCTGAGCTGCAGATGAATGGGAGTATCTGAGCTCTCGCCGACGCTAATATTAACATTCGCTGTCTCGCTCCTGCCATATACCTGAGACATGAATTCCTAAGGCTGTGTCAGATTGATTAGCTGTGTTGTGAGACAAGGATATTTCAAGTAAATACTGAAAGTTTCTGTTAGCAACCCGACTACAATACCTTCTTGTACAATTCGAAATTTTCACGACAGAGGAGTTTTACGTTCTGAGATAGTTCTACATTTTCTTGTTGAACAAGGCTTCCCTGAAATAAATTCAACAAAGTGTAGCTGTTGTAACTGACAGTACTCTAAACAACATGTTTTGGGTAAAGAAAGGTATTATCTTTGAAGAAAGACCTTTTGCTTCAGCTCTTGTATGTCATTAATCAATATTTGTTCCTGCATAAAGCCATGTTACAAATCATGTGCATTCTCTTGTTCATGCCACGATGAAATGGAACATGAAAATTCTCCATCAAGATTTAGGGTTTCTCACCTTTTTCGCTCGCACACGATGCAAACTCATTTCAAGTTGATGTTCTAAATTTTGTAGGTCGTTGACACTCAAACCATGAAGATTTTCTCCCATCAATTTGCTGCCTTACCAAAAATGGCAATCTAGGTTCAGAATCATGAGTAGCATTTGTGATCAGCAAATAAGTGAGCCATGGTAGAAAAGGAATCGCAAGAAAGGCAAAAAAAAAAAGGTGTGCTCAACTAAGGTTAGACCAACTCTCTACCTCTCTTAATCTTCTCTAACACCTTTTTGTTTATATTCTTGTTTCCGACCATCAAGCTCCGTTTACTCCATGTAAATTATAGGTGTCACTAATTTTTCTTTATGTCAACAATATTAACAGTGTATCTATAAGCTCAGACCTATGTTATCTGGATATAGGAAGCATACTGTGACACAGTTAATTATTTTTAGCATCTTTTAAACTTATTTCTTTTGTCTTTGTAGCTAAGTAATTCAAAGCTAAAGATGTAAGATTTTACCGATGATTCGCTTGCAAGTTCTGTAACTGGTGATTTAACATTGCTGCCTCCCTTTGCCAAAACTAGCACAGAAAAAGTTCAGTTTATGCAAATTTAACATCATACTTAATAGAATGGGAACATTCTTTGAACATGATTGCATAAGATGTGCTTACTGAAAAAATAAGCCAAGATACTTATAACTTTTTCTGTGCTCGCTGGGTGAAAAAGATAAACTTTTTGGTCTAATATTAAAAAAAAAAAAAAAAAAAAAAAAATTTTATATGCGATAACAGTTATTCACTCGTATTATCAGAGGGGGAAAAAGTTGTTGTTCAACCACTAGCTTCTTTCTCTCTCTATTGAATTAGGTTTCTGAGCATGTCTTTTAACTAAATCGCAAGTTTCAAAAAAGGAATTCCAAATAGTTGCTTCCTGACTCATTTCTGGAGTTACTTTTCTTGCAAGTGAACTCATTCCTTCAACCAATAAAGTATAGCATTGAGCTTGTTCATCATATAGACATTATAACATTTGATAGAATTTTAATGCATTTATGTTTTAGTGGTGGAGAAAGAGTTTGTGTCGCATGTACATGTGAGAAAACTTGGATACCTTTGCATGTCAATGCGCAAATTACACTTTAAATTACTATTGAGTAGATATGTCGTAGATCCACTCAACTAGTTGAATTGATTTCACATAACTCTAAACCCAATAGTCTATCATCTTGTGGCGGAAAAGGTGAAAAAATATCCGTGGATTGAAGCATAATTCATGGGACAAAAAAGCAATTAACCATCCAATTTTTAAAATGTATTTAGAGGTGCAACATGAGACACTTGACAAATGACGAAGGAATGTGATACAAGGTATAATTGAGATGATAGAAGCATAATTTNTTGGATTGAAGCATAATTCATGGGACAAAAAAGCAATTAACCATCCAATTTTTAAAATGTATTTAGAGGTGTGTTAGAGTATGTGTGACTCATATTTTGCTATGTGCATAATGGCAAGGAGGCAGATGTCGGAGCGGAGCCCGCGACGGCATCTGCCTTGCGGGATTTATATATAGGGGACGCTGATAANACATGTGAGAAAACTTGGATACCTTTGCATGTCAATGCGCAAATTACACTTTAAATTACTATTGAGTAGATATGTCGTAGATCCACTCAACTAGTTGAATTGATTTCACATAACTCTAAACCCAATAGTCTATCATCTTGTGGCGGAAAAGGTGAAAAAATATCCGTGGATTGAAGCATAATTCATGGGACAAAAAAGCAATTAACCATCCAATTTTTAAAATGTATTTAGAGGTGCAACATGAGACACTTGACAAATGACGAAGGAATGTGATACAAGGTATAATTGAGATGATAGAAGCATAATTTTCCATATGCCAGAGTTTTGCATATTCACATCAAAATTTTCACGTCTCTACCCTTACTACATACATAATTCCACTAAAAGTTATTTTTATCACCGGTGCCATAAAATGGCTTCTGGTGGATGATCTTCGCATCACTAGGGTTTTAAACTTTGCCAACAAGAGTTTTTTTTTTACCAAATCAAGTTGGTTTGACAAAATAATTCCCAAAATGACGTAGGTTTAAAACTATTTCCCAAACCTAAGTTGAGAATTATTTTGCCAAACTGGCCGGGTTTGGTAAAATGCTCAGACAACATCACAACCCTTCCTAGCTAGAAAGGTTAGGAGAGGAAAATATGTACTAACTGTTCCGCTCAAGCTTCTTGCAGTGACTATATACTACAATTGGATGGAAAGAAACTGTAGGCTTCAAAGGAACCGATCCTCGCTTCTCGACCTTATTGTTCAAACTACAAGGGACATAATTTCAAAACTCAAATTCAGATCCTCTCCTAGGAACTTGATATTAGCGCAAGCTTGGCAAGTATCCTATAGATGCTTGGTCTAGATTGGCAACTGACGACCTGACAGCACCTTCCTTTAGATTTTTGGCTCTACTTTTGTTTACTGTCATTGTTTTTACTTCACCCTTTTGGCTTTGGATTTAGTTGGAAGTGTTGGTCAGATTTTTACTTCCTTCCAAATTCAGTAATTTTAAAGTGATTTGTACATATTGACAATTAATTGGATTTTGTAAGGGTATCACCTCTTGCTTGTATATCATGCTTTTTATTAAAAGAATTCATTTTACCTTTCCCAAAAAATAAAAAATAGAAATCATGATCACTCAGGACTTATATGCATTTTATTTGGAATTAGGCTCCCATCTATTTATTGTTTGTATGAATGCTATATGAAACAGAGTTTTTTTCTTTCTTTTTCCAACTTAATTTTTTTTTATTGAAATGACAAATTTATTTATCGAACTACCATTGTTTTTATGAAATCTTGTTTCGTAAACACGCATTCAATAACTATCACAACATATATATGGCGAGCAACAAGATCCTATTGACTGTTTAAATCACTCCAATGTTCTGATACTACTTATTCGAAGATAGAGAAGCCCACACCAACGTGGTTCACTTTTAACTGTTTCAGATTCAATCTATCCTTAAAGGCTTATAAGTAATGAATCCACACATAGCATATGGAGATCCATCTTTTCGTTTCTTTTTCCTTTCAGTTTAAGGTTTTCTACAATGATGTCGTGTATCTCAATATTGCTAAAATAAGGTTGTCATCTCAAGGATATAATCTATCTAATAAACTAGTTAACAAGTTGAATCTTTATCTCCTATATATATTTTTTTCCAAAAAACATTAAATTACTCAATTTTATCACATGTTCAATCATTTAATATTTAGTTAATTTATAGTATTACATAACTTTTATTTCATATATTATTCATAAACGATAGTGTACACATGTTAAAAAAATTATATCGACTTATACATTTTGAGAAAATTTTGACGCTATTTTTAAGAAAGTAATAGATAAAAATTAATTTTAAATGATGTAAGCAAATAAATTAATTTTAAATTTGATATATTTTATCGTGTTTTTAGACACGGGTTATAACTAGTATATATATATATAGATAATACATAGCAACTTGAATTTTTATACCTTACATATTTTTCCCTTCAAAAACATCACATCACCAATTTCTATTATATGTTCAATAATTTAATATTTGATTAATTCATAGTTTAACATAATTTTTATTATGCATATTATCCATACACGATACTATCCACATGTTGATAAATTTTGTCGATATTTTTAAGAAAATAATTGATAAAAATAAATTTTAAATGATGTAATCAAAGAAATGAAAGAAAGAAAAATTGTTATTTAATATAGTTGGATCGATCTTTTTGGGCGCTCGAATTTTTCTTTCATCGTATCTTCAAGTACGAGTAATGACTAGTATATATATATAAATAATTAATCATTCAAATTCAAGTAATGAGACTAAAAGCAAGAGAAAGATCAAGAAAGCAAACAAATAAAGTCAAAGGTGTAAAAGCTTTAACATCTTCAACCTTCAAGTTTGAAGGTTGAAGCAGTTAAATCTTGAAGGTGTTCTTAGCACCAGCTAGAAGTGCTTATATAGAATGCTTTCGTGTTCAAGGGAATCCATTCTTATATAGGTTCTTTCCTAGCTAGTATGTTTTTTGGATACTTGATGTATATTGATGGCATATAAAAACTGAGAAGTGTGAACTAGAAGAGCTAGTAGAGTTCTATTTGAGCAATAGAATGAGAAAATAGTACACAAGGAAATAAGTGGTTTACTAAGTTGAAGAGTTAAGATAGTCCACTATCATTGAGGGTTTTGCTTTTATGATTTTCTATTGCTTAAGGAAGAAGAAGATTACACTTAGAGGGAAATCAATCACACACGCTATGGCAAGATAGTGGCTTGCCTATTTATACACATGGTCCTCACAATTTGTTAGAATATTTGGAAAAACATTTGACCGTTAGAGGCTCTCCTCCCTAATGTGTGATGTGGTATTCTAGAAGTTATGACATGACATTTTAGATAGGATGCCTTCCTGCCCAAGGTAGGGTTTATGTGTGTAATTCCTCTTCTGATCCTCTTCCAATGATTGCCAAGCTGATAAGTGATTATTGAGCTGTTTTGTGTCTTGGCTGACCTAGTTCCCTGTAGGTCAGGTTATCAAGACTTCAATCAAGTCGGCTAGGCTTTTTGCAGTCTTGATGACAATTTGTGGTGTGAACTATATCTTTTCTTTTAGTTATCATTAGTTGCCCCTAGCCCTGAGCATGGACTGTCCTGAGCTGGTCATTTGTTGGGGTTGAGCTGCGTTGAGGTGTTTGTCGTGCCTATCTAGCTGTGTCTTGGGATTGTTGTAACTGAAGAGACATGATAGGACCATTTCCCTATAATTGTATAGTCGTGTAGGCATGACATATATTTGTTGTCTTGATTATTAGGATGTGCCTATCTTGTGATGACATGTGGCCACGTGCTTAGGCACATTCAATACGCACCACGTGCATTAAATGTTCACGTTGGTGAACAAATTGCCAAATCCATAACCTATTTAAAGAATCATTCCTCAATGTAGCACCCCACTTTGCCTTTGCCTTTGCCTTTTTAAGGTATAGAGAACGAGCGAGAGAGAGAGAGAGTTTTAGAGAAGCCAGAAGGTTGTGTTTTGCTATCCGTTAATCATNCTATAGAGAACGAGCGAGAGAGAGAGAGTTTTAGAGAAGCCAGAAGGTTGTGTTTTGCTATCCGTTAATCATTATGTTGGTGTTATGTGTATTTGTTGGTTGCAAGGGCTAGTTAGACCTCTCCTTAGGTACGTCTTTTTCCTTTTTTTCATATAGTCTGAAATTTTTTGATCCTTGGTGATGGTCTTAGGGGCTCTATTTTTTGGTTCTCAAGTTCTGTTACCTAAGGAGTCTTAATAGATCGTTAGATCCCCTTCCTTTCTTTACTAACCGTGCTACTATANCTTTCCTTTTTTCATATAGTCTAAAATTTTTTGATCCTTGGTGATGGTCTTAGGGGCTCTATTTTTTGGTTCTCAAGTTCTGTTACCTGAGGAGTCTTAATAGATCGTTAGATCCCCTTCCTTTCTTTACTAACCGTGCTACTATAGTTAGGGTTTCTTTAGTTCATTATTCATGCTTTGATCCTCGAGCTATCAAGGATTGCTCTTTGAACCTTCCGAAGTTATACCTTAGGCCGAATTGCTTTACTCCCCTAGTCAGGGTTATGTGAACTTCCTCCTCCTCTTCTTCTACCATGCATTCTTCTATTTTTGCCATGTTTAAAGGTGACTCTACCCAAGTCAAGGCCAGTTCATCTTATATGGATGGTGACTTTGACCTACATGAGGTCTTGAGGGATAGAAATCCCTTGGAAATAGTTGATCATGAAGAAGATTCCCCTTTACGTAGTGTCTTAGGAGATATTTCCCATGGGGCTAACTTCTATGAAGGCTTTGACGAGAGGTATCAAGAAGAGGTTGAGAAAGCCTCTAAGTGATACCTCGTCTTCGTCTAGGGATAGCTCTTCAAAAATTGATAAAAAGTTTGCTCATGACCTAGATGACCTAACCTGCAGAGCCATCCTGGTGCGTAATAAGGTTTCTGAAGCTCGAGTTGATGCCATCAAGAAATAATATAGGTCCCCTGATGGTGTGGTCATCCATGCTCTTGCTTGGGTGGAGCGTTGCTACATATGTTACTTTAGGAAGGTTTTCCTTTTCAAGGTTGCCTTTGAAGTTGGCCTAAGATTTCACATGCACCCTTTCATCAAAGTTGTTCTTTGTCACTTCAACTTATGTCCTTTTAGAGTATCCCCCAATGACTAGGGTTTTCTAGTGGATCTACTTGTCTTCTAGCGTTAAAGTGTTATTGGGTCTTCCCCTACTATCCCTAAATTGTTCCATTTTTTTCACTTGTAATCCTCTCTAGCTCAAGGATTCCTTTACTTCACAAAAAGGGCCAAGGCGAAAGACTTGGAAAACCCTAATTTTCATTTCTTAGCGATTTTGCCTTGTCTTCTTGAATGTGACTAGGTTGTATTACTTTTGCAGGGTTAGTGCCTCCCCTGAACAAAGTTGAGCTGATCTGTTTTGCTCAAGTTAAGGAGTACGACTCAAGACTCTATGCCAAGCTGATAACACTTGAGAACTTGGCCAAGTACTAGCTAGGTCCCTTGGTTGAAGAAGCCACTCCAATTGAGGAAGCCATTTTTTATAAGAAGCACATAATTTCTCCTTGACTTCCCCTAATTTTCCTCAGATGACCAATTTTTCTTTTTTTTTTTTTTTTGCATCCTTTGCAGATCCTACTACAAAGGTGTTTGACAAGGAAGCTTTGAAGAGATCCATGGCTGGTGGGAAGTGAGCCAAGAAGGCTGGGGATATCGTTAGTAACTATCGCCTAGTCTATATGGTGGGAAACCATGAAAACTCACCTTTCTATAATTGTCTTAATTAGGTAAGTTCAAAGTCAAACTAGAGGGTAGTGGGAATGTGAGACCCTCAAAGAAGCCAAGACATTTGGTGAAAAAGTCCGAGGTCACCATTCTTGAAATCAACCTACCAGATCCCAAGAGGACCATGACTTCTGACCTCCCCCTTCTGAAGAGAAGACTGAGAAGGTCCAAGAAGTTAGTGAAAAACCTACTCTCTCAAGTCAACAGGCTCAAGGCTTCTATGCAGTCTCTAAGGGATTAGCTAGCAGCTAAACAAACTCTTTTCTTAGCAGCTAAAGCCAAATCTACAGAGGCACTCATGGGCACAACAACTGATAAGTATGAGAAAGCAAGATCTGAGGAAGAGAATTCTCTATTGAAGAAAAAATTGGCTTAGGTAACAAAGAGGTATTCTGAGATAGAGGCTGAGGTGATTGCTAGAGACAAGGCTACAGAGGAGCTAAAGAAAGGCGTTGCAAAGAGCTTATTGGACGGATTTGAGAACTTCAGGGACCAGATTGAGGAGAAATTATCTGACCTTGACTTAAATTCCTTCGATTCTTCCCTTTCTAAAGATGAGACCAGGAAGGATAAGGGAACAACCGAGGGACGGGGAAAAACAGCAAGTCGAGACGACTGAGAAGACTATAGAGGGGCATGGGACTAAGGAGGCGATTAATTGAAGAGCTTTTCTTTTGCCTTTTGCTATTTTGTAAAAATTTGAAACTTTTTTAAGTGTTAGGCTATATATCCTCCAACCGTTTTAATCTGAAGTTTTCTGTTTAATGAAATCTTTTCTTGCTTCTTTATTGTTGTTGTTCCTTTGTTGCCATAGTGTCTAGTCAAAATCAGGTTAGATCGGACCTACTTTCATCATTGTGGTCATCCTCGGTGAGTTAGTTCAGGTCATACATGTACTTTAACTTGTGGTTACTTGTTCCCTTCACTTCTAAAAGGTGATAACCTTGTACGAGTTAAGCCTTTCACTAAGTAGTTAAGTCATCCTTTTTGGCTAAGTACCTTTTTTTAGGTTCTTTAATTTCATTGCCCTCGAGATTGGGAAGTTTGGAATCTCAAGCTGAGCTAGCTTTATTTTTGACTAACGAGTCTTTAAGTGTTTCCAAAGCTTGTTGTTTTTGAGGTTGAATAACCTTGAGAGGCAAAAAAACTTGGAGGAGTTGAAAATCTTGTAAAGGCTGAGTAACTTCAAGAGGCTAAGGACCCTTGTGTTCAAAGTAGAGCAAACGAGTTTTACATGATTTTTAGTGGAGCTAAAGAGTTCTAGTGAATAGCCTTTGGCAGAGTTAAACCTGTTCAAGCTAAAGAGCTTGAGTCTTGGTGTGACTTTTCTAAGTGTGCCCACCTTTTTTGGCTCTTCTTGAAGAGGACATACATGCATCAAAAACTTTTGATTGGTTAGTCATAGGCTTTGGAGCAAGCTGTTTGGTTTGAAGGCCAACAAGTCTTCAAATCTTGGGAGAGCTGACTAGCTCCGAGGCTAAAAAAACCTATTGTTTATTATAGAGCTGACAAGCTCTTGGGTTGAGAAGACTGTTGACAATTAAAGAGCTAACTAGCCCTTTTATGCATTTAGGCTTACCTATTTTCTTGTAGCATTGATGCAATCAGACAAAATTTTTTGTAAAAGTTTCCTTGAATAAGGAGTATTTGGATGAATATCTTTGAAAAGATAATCATTTTGACATAAAGAAAAGAGAAAAATTAGGTGCCAACCTTTGCTTAGTCATTGATAGTATTTCTTGAGGTGTTAAGCGTTCCGAGAGTGTGCCCCTTCTCCGTTTGCAACTCAGAGTGTCCAAGTATGATCATTTTTTTTGTCGCTTAAGACCCTTCCCAGTTGGGTTCGAGCTTTCCATAGTGTGGGTCTTTTCTAGCTAGCAATACTTTCTTCAGAACCAAGTCTCCCACTTTAAAACTATTTTTCTTAACCTTTTGGTCATAATATCGAGTTGTTCTTCAGTGGTAGGTTATGATTCTTTGGAAGGCTTCATTCCTTTTTTTATCAAGGAGGTGTAGGCTGAATAAAAAAGACTTGTCATTCTGCTCGAGGTTAAGTAGCCCTGTCCTTGGGGATGGAAGGCCAATTTCAACTGGTGCAATAGCCTTAGTCCCAAAGGCTAAGTTGAAAAGCATCTCAATGGTGGCAATCTGGCTCATGTTCTATATGTTCATAGCACACTTGAGAGGTGGGCTACCAATTGGTTTTTTGGGGCCTCCAGCCTCATCTTTAGAGTTTTTACTATAGTTCTAATTGTCACTTCAGCTTAGCCATTGGCTTGAGGATAAGTTGGAGAAGAGTAGTAATTCTTAATTCTCCAGCTTAGAACAGAAACTTCTGAAGACATTGTTGTCAAACACTTCCCATTGTTTGATACGATGTCTTTAGGAATCCTAAAACGCAAAATGATTTACTTCCAAACAAAGGTCTTCATTTTCTGATCCGTGATCATTGCAAAGGGGCTCTACATTTTCCCACTCAGTGAAGTAATTGACTACAACTACTGTAAACTTACACTAAGCTACCCCTATGGACAAAGGCCCTACGATCTTGATACCCCACTGTTTGAAGGGCCAAGGACTCAAGATTGGGGCACGCTTTTCTAGAGGGTGCCTCAGTATATTGGGTGGACTTGGCATGCTTTGCATTTCCTAATTAGGTCTGTTGAATCCTTCATAATAGAAGACTAGATGTATCNATTTGAAGGGCCAAGGACTCAAGATTGGGGCACGCTTTTCTAGAGGGTGCCTCGGTATATTGGGTGGACTTGGCATGCTTTGCATTTCCTAATTAGGTCTGTTGAATCCTTNCGAGTCTTTAAGTGTTTCCAAAGCTTGTTGTTTTTGAGGTTGAATAACCTTGAGAGGCAAAAAAAATTGGAGGAGTTGAAAATCTTGTAAAGGCTGAGTAACTTCAAGAGGCTAAGGACCCTTTTGTTCAAAGTAGAGCAAATGAGTTTTACATGATTTTTAGTGGAGCTAAAGAGTTCTAGTGAATAGCCTTTGGCAGAGTTAAGCCTGTTCAAGCTAAAGAGCTTGAGTCTTGGTGTGACTTTTCTAAGTGTGCCCACCTTTTTTGGCTCTTCTTGAAGAGGACATACATGCATCAAAAACTTTTGATTGGTTAGTCATAGGCTTTGGAGCAAGCTGTTTGGTTTGAAGGCCAACAAGTCTTCAAATCTTGGGAGAGCTGACTAGCTCCGAGGCTAAAAAAACCTATTGTTTATTATAGAGCTGACAAGCTCTTGGGTTGAGAAGACTGTTGACAATTAAAGAGCTAACTAGCCCTTTTATGCATTTAGGCTTACCTATTTTCTTGTAGCATTGATGCAATCAGACAAAATTTTTTGTAAAAGTTTCCTTGAATAAGGAGTATTTGGATGAATATCTTTGAAAAGATAATCATTTTGACATAAAGAAAAGAGAAAAATTAGGTGCCAACCTTTGCTTAGTCATTGATAGTATTTCTTGAGGTGTTAAGCGTTCCGAGAGTGTGCCCCTTCTCCGTTTGCAACTCAGAGTGTCCAAGTATGATCATTTTTTTTGTCGCTTAAGACCCTTCCCAGTTGGGTTCGAGCTTTCCATAGTGTGGGTCTTTTCTAGCTAGCAATACTTTCTTCAGAACCAAGTCTCCCTCTTTAAAACTATTTTTCTTAACCTTTTGGTCATAATATCGAGTTGTTCTTCAGTGGTAGGTTATGATTCTTTGGAAGGCTTCATTCCTTTTTTTATCAAGGAGGTGTAGGCCGAATAAAAAAGACTTGTCATTCTGCTCGAGGTTAAGTAGCCCTGTCCTTGGGGATGGAAGGCCAATTTCAACTGGTGCAATAGCCTTAGTCCCAAAGGCTAAGTTGAAAAGCATCTCAATGGTGGCAATCTGGCTCATGTTCTATATGTTCATAGCACACTTGAGAGGTGGGCTACCAATTGGTTTTTTGGGGCCTCCAGCCTCATCTTTAGAGTTTTTACTATAGTTCTAATTGTCACTTCAGCTTAGCCATTGGCTTAAGGATAAGTTGGAGAAGAGTAGTAATTCTTAATTCTCCAGCTTAGAACAGAAACTTCTGAAGACATTGTTGTCAAACACTTCCCATTGTTTGATACGATGTCTTTAGGAATCCTAAAACGCAAAATGATTTACTTCCAAACAAAGGTCTTCATTTTCTGATCCGTGATCATTGCAAAGGGGCTCTACATTTTCCCACTCAGTGAAGTAATTGACTACAACTACTGTAAACTTACACTAAGCTACCCCTATGGACAAAGGCCCTACGATCTTGATACCCCACTGTTTGAAGGGCCAAGGACTCAAGATTGGGGCACGCTTTTCTAGAGGGTGCCTCAGTATATTGGGTGGACTTGGCATGCTTTGCATTTCCTAATTAGGTCTGTTGAATCCTTCATAATAGAAGACTAGATGTATCCTTGCCTTAGTTTTATATGCCTACATCTTGGCTCAAATATAGTTTCCACAAATTCCTTCATGAATCTCTTTGAGCACATAGTCAGCCTCGGTAGGGGCAATGCATTTAAGGAATGGTCAAGAGTATCTTTTCTTATGATAATCCCGAAATGTTTAGGAGTTGGTTGACATATTTCTGAACCTAGTTGCTTCTTTTGGATCTTGGGGAAGGGCTCCTTACTAAAGATACTTGTATATGAGATCCATCTAGGTTAGATTCCCTACTTCTTGCATGAAATATTTTTCTGATTCTTGAGAGATGTTGGGTTGTGATAGATGTTCTACATGAAATACTCTGCCGAGGTTCCCCTGTGTTGCAGCATCTAGCTAGGTCAATTGAATCTACTTGGACATTTTCTACCCTAGGTGCTTGCAAGATCTCCGCATGGATGAACTTTCCTAATATCTCATTGACAACCCTTAGATAGGCTGCCATCATGTCCTCATTTATGCTATACTCATATCTAGCCTACCTAATTACCAGTTGGCAATCCTTGTGGATTAACACTTGTTGAGCTTTCATTGACATGGCTAACTTGAGCCTAGTTATCAATGCCTCATATTCTATCTCGTTGTTGGAAAGACTTTGAAGTCTAAAAAGGNCTGAGCTTTCATTGACAGGGCTAACTTGAGCCTGGTTATCAATGCCTCATATTCTATCTCGTTGTTGGAAAGACTTTGAAGTCTAAAAAGGGTGAGGTCAAGATAAGGCCAACTCCACTTCCCTATGCATTACAAGCTTTATCTATATATAATTCCCAAACTAGGACATTAGGGACAAAACCTTTTTTTTCTAAAGAATTGGATTTTATTTGTGATGAGGTGTGAACTCAACTACAAAATAAATGAGGACTTATCATTTGATTGTTGTCATTTGCTTGAACTTGATGTCAAATTCCCCATGCTTGATGGCCCATTTAACTAGTTGACCTAAAGGGTTTATGTTTATGTAAGACATGTTTCATTGGCTGGTCAGTGGGTACTTCAATGGTGTAGGCATGAAAAAATGGTCCGATTCTCCTGGTTGTCATGACAAGAGTTAGGACTAGTTTCTCCATCTTCAGATATCTTTCTACGTCTCCTTTTAGTGGTTTACTACAAAAGTAAACTGGTATTTGAACCTTCTCATCATTTTTTATTAGGGCAACATTGACTGAAAG